ACGGCAGCTTTAGTTGGCTCTTAAAAATGTGGGGAGGGGATTGTGTGCCTTCCAGAAGTAGCTTCAAAATCAGTGTCGTGCCCACGAGGAGCCAAAATACCACCCTGAAGCTTTGCCCAGTCCTAATAGTTAATCTCTCTGGCTTTTTTGACGGATGCAAGGACAGGAACGCAGCAAGCTGTCCATAGAATTAAATGGATGATTTGGAGGGTCTAATAGCCTGAAATTTTTTTAAATGCACACGTGCAGCCAAATGGGTTTTTTAACCAGATGAAATCCCACCCAGAACTGTCCTGTACAGTTTGCAGGAGAAACAAGTAAAAACAGAAAAGAGGCCCTTGGCTTTCATCCCAGGTTTACACTCCAAACACATGCCACAAGCACTGTAAGCAAGGAGGGATCACCTTCCCGTCCCACCTTGCCTGTTATTTTTATTAGCTCAGAAGTTCCGTGTCACAACGGATCGCGTGGACGGGCATATATTGGCACAGCACCCTCTCCAAAGCAAATAAACAAAATTGATTTTCTGCTTCCAACTTCCTTCTCACTTGGTTGACGAGAAGTGTGTGCATGTGTGTGTGTGTGTGGGGGAAATGCTGCAAAACGGGTTGCGTGGCTTTAAAAAGCACTCCCATTGGCAAGCGGTAGGGTGCTGCAGGATTTGAATGCATCACCTGGTAGCGTGTGGAAACACACCACTTGGAAAAGAACGGAAGTTCTGCAGCACAAAAAAAAAATATCTCAGGATATGGGTGGATCAACTGCTTCAGCGAGGGAAACTATGGAGCAGGGTGAGATGTGGGCACGGCCAGATGTGACTTTTATTTTTATAGTCTACTTTTAGGTGGTCCAACACACATAAGCTATATATAAGCTCATATAGCCTATATAAACTCCTGAATCCTGTTTTTCTCAACAACAATCCTGAGAGTTGAGTGGCCCAAAGTCATCCAGCTGGCTTTCACGCCTAAAGCAGGACTAGGAATCACCAATCTCCCACTTTCTAGTCTAACACTACACCAGGTTAACCAGTACACCAAACTGGCTAGCTCTCGGGACTAATATGGATCTGTTCCCAGATCTGTTCCAAGGTGCCTGAAGGCAGGACAAGAAGCAACGGATGGAAACTAACCAAGGAGAGAAGCAACCTGGAACTCAGGAGAAACTTCCTGACAGTGAGAACAATTAACCAGTGGAACCACCTGCCTCCAGAAGTTGTGAATGCTCCAACACTGGAAGTTTTTAAGAAGAGACTGGACAGCCATTTGTCTGAAATGGTATAGGGTTTCCTGCCTGAGCAGGGGGTTGGACTAGATGACCTCCAAGGTCCCTTCCAACTTTTATTATTATTATTATTATTATTATTATTATTATTATTATTATTATTATTATTATTATTNACGGCAGCTTTAGTTGGCTCTTAAAAATGTGGGGAGGGGATTGTGTGCCTTCCAGAAGTAGCTTCAAAATCAGTGTCGTGCCCACGAGGAGCCAAAATACCACCCTGAAGCTTTGCCCAGTCCTAATAGTTAATCTCTCTGGCTTTTTTGACGGATGCAAGGACAGGAACGCAGCAAGCTGTCCATAGAATTAAATGGACGATTTGGAGGGTCTAATAGCCTGAAATTTTTTAAAATGCACACGTGCAGCCAAATGGGTTTTTTAACCAGGTGAAATCCCACCCAGAACTGCCCTGTGCAGTTTGCAGGAGAAACAAGTAAAAACAGAAAAGAGGCCCTTGGCTTTCATCCCACGTTTACACTCCAAACACATGCCACAAGCACTGTAAGCAAGGAGGGATCACCTTCCCGTCCCACCTTGCCTGTTATTTTTATTAGCTCAGAAGTTCCGTGTCACAACGGATCGCGTGGACGGGCATATATTGGCACAGCACCCTCTCCAAAGCAAATAAACAAAATTGATTTTCTGCTTCCAACTTCCTTCTCACTTGGTTGACGAGAAGTGTGTGCATGTGTGTGTGTGTGGGGGGGAAATGCTGCAAAACGGGTTGCGTGGCTTTAAAAAGCACTCCCATTGGCAAGCGGTAGGGTGCTGCAGGATTTGAATGCATCACCTGGTAGCGTGTGGAAACACACCACTTGGAAAAGAACGGAGGTTCTGCAGCACAAAAAAAAAATCTCAGGATATGGGTGGATCAACTGCTTCAGCGAGGGAAACTATGGAGCAGGGTGAGATGTGGGCACGGCCAGATGTGACTTTTATTTTTATAGTCTACTTTTAGGTGGTCCAACACACATAAGCTATATATAAGCTCATATAGCCTATATAAACTCCTGAATCCTGTTTTTCTCAACAACAATCCTGAGAGTTGAGTGGCCCAAAGTCATCCAGCTGGCTTCCACGCCTAAAGCAGGACTAGGAATCAGCAATTTCCTACTTTCTAGTCTAACGTTACACCAGGTTAACCAGTACACCAAACTGGCTAGCTCTCAGGACTAATATGGATCTGTTCCCAGATCTGTTCCAAGGCGCCTGAAGGCAGGACAAGAAGCAACGGATGGAAACTAATCAAGGAGAGAAGCAACCTAGAACTAAGGAGAAACTTCCTGACAGTGAGAACAATTAACCAGCGGAACAACCTGCCTCCAGAAGCGGTGAATGCTCCAACACTGGACGTTTTTAAGAAGAGACTGGACAGCCATTTGTCAGAAATGGTATAGGGTTTCCTGCCTGAGCAGGGGGTTGGACTAGATGACCTCCAAGGTCCCTTCCAACTTATTATTATTATTATTATTATTATTATTATTATTATTATTATTATTATTATTATTATTATTATTATTATTATTATTATTATTATTAATATTAATATTGGACTCCTCTGTCTGCCCTGGAAAAGGACACAAGGGAGCCAACACCTTCAAACGGAAAAAAAAAACCATGCAGGCAGTCCTCAATTTACAACCACAATTGAGCCAAAATTTCCTTTGCTGAGCAAGGGAAATTGTTAAGTGAGTTTTGCCCCATTTTACGACCTTATTTGCCATATAGTTGTTAAGTGAATCACTGCAGGTTAAGTGAATCATGAGGTCATTAAGCGAATCTGTCTTTGCACGTTGGAAGGAGGCTGGAAAGGCTACACGTGCTGATCACATGGCCCAGGACAGTTGTAAGGACTCACCTCTACCCAAGGAAGCAGAACTCTTGAAACGGGCATCGTCTCACATGGAACTTTTATGAGGGGTTAGTGAGAGTAGGGAACTCAAAGCGAGATCTGGGGAAAAACCCGCCTACACGGTCTAGTTAAACTAGCAATCTTCCACCAAAGTCATAGTGTCCATTTGAAATCCAGCCAATCCACAGGTGGTACGATGTTTGGGTAACTGGCACACGTTGGCCGAGCATCTCAAGGTCTTCTCCAGCTTTCCTTTCTCCGCAACTGTCTCCCTGATAAGGGAGACACAGTCTTTACTGGAGTGGATGGAGGACGGAGAGGAAAAGCAGAAAGCAAAAGTTATCCCAAGCGAAAGCAATC